ATAGAGACTCCTTAGTTCAAAATTTTTTCACGTGCTCTTAAATGAAGTTTTAGATGATGTAAGAGATGTTAAGAGCACGTGCTCTTAAATTTGTTCCAGCACCTTCAATGTCGACAATAAAACTAGACAACGCTCAGAAAATGTCCTCCTTCTCCCAGGATAACATGGACCAACTTCAAAAAAGTTCAACCAATTCGATGCCAACAACGATGGCAAGATCTTGGTAACGGAACTTGAAGACAATGGGGTCTAGCTACACAGAGGAGGAACTCAAATGTGTCATGGAAGACATCGACATCGACAAAGACGGCTTCATCGACCTTTTTGAATTTTGTTCCCTCTGCCGTTCATCTCCCGATGCTGTCACCACCGCCTCATCGCCTCGACGCTGTTTTCTAGCAAAAGACCACAACCATCAGGCATTCGCAAACACTGTTGGTAGCCGAACTGCCCAAAAGGGTTAGTGTCAGTTTCACAAGTTTGGGGCTTTTGTTTGTTGGACTAAGTGTCAGCTTTCAGCTCTTAGCATTCACTCCCTCCTTCTCTTTGTCTCGTGTTGAGTTTATTTTGCTCTGTAAGCAAACCCAATACTTTTTTAGTTGGAAATGAACCCCTAAATTTGATCTTCCGGTGATGTCACCTCTTAATTTGAAGGAGAGTGATTTCAGTTAGTGCCAAGTTCTCTGATTTTTGATAGTAGCTAAACATTGTCCCACATCATTTTTAAGTCGGTCATTAGATTTTGAAGCAAATGTTTTTGAAGATAATCAGTTATGTAACTGAGTTTCATTTGGGCAATTTAGTTACAAAAGAAGCATTTTTTTCTAAAAGGAAGAGAATCAGTTACGGTTTTCTTCTTAGATTTGCAGGACTTCCTACTTCGTGCTTGAGTGCTAAAGCTGAACAGACAAGCTCTACTGACTGCTCGAAGAGCTTCTGAACATTCTAGAGGTGAAGCTTCTTATCTGACTAGTAGAATTTCTACATGCTGTTTAGGAAAGTTTTAAGAAATTAACAAACACCTATTCTTCGAGCTTAAATCTTAATGCATCTTCATTGCTTTATTGTTTCTTGTGCCATTTTGTTATCAGTTCCCTGTGGATTTGTTTCATCTTGTTTGAAATGTTCCATATATGTTTTAAACATTAATTGTACTTGCATTGCCTAAAAAGAAATGCGTTTTGCAGCTGAATTGAAACACGTGATTAGGCAAGAAATGGAGAGTAATCGAGATTGCAAGGATAAACAAAGCATCAGCTACTTGATTAGTAGTGAAGGAACCGAGGGATTGAAAGGTCTGACTAAGATGCTAGGTATGCAGGGACATTGCTAGTGGAATGAAGCTGCATTTGCTATTTAGCTTATTGAAAAAAATTTTGAAATCCCCAATTTATGGACCATCTTGTATAGTTGCAGGATAGCAAGTTCTTCAAGAAAAACATCTTATTCACCAGGATTTAAAGCCACAGGTAGTGGTACTTGATTATCATAGTTTAATCGTATAAATGATGATTCTCGAATTAGATTCTGTTATTTGCTGTGAAGTTAGATCATTGATATGAGAACCCCTAGTGTAAACCATGTTGTTCGCTTTGAGAATTTATATAGTTAAAAAAGAATCAAACATTTTTGTTTTGTAGGGCTTTGTAGTGTACTTGCTCTTGTTGCATCTAGTGTCTCTGTTTAGAAATTAACTAGCATCTAATATCTATAGTTATCATGTGATGAAGACTAGATCTTTGGTTTATCAATTTATTTCTTATAAATTTGTTGTAACTTTGCAGAACTTACTACTGTCAACTAAAGGAGCAACTTTGCAATTGAAGATAGGAGATTTTGGTTTTGTAAGGTAACCATTTTAATTGGCCTTAACAAATTGGCACAAGACTTTGCTTATTGACATTGCTTGACTTTTAATTCCTTTTATTAGTATTTTTGTAAAATATTCTTTTGTATCCATTTATGAGAAACAAAGTTGAAAAACAAAGACAAAACATAAAGCCATTTCGGGGTCTTCCTGGTTTAGCAGAACATGTTTCTCGAACCCCCAACTAGGTCCAAATAGCTGGGCAATCCCATTTTCGGCATCGCCTTAGATGTATCCTTTCATTTTTTCTGATATTGTTGGATTCAATTTCTCAAATATCATGATCTGGCATTGTTTCGCTTAATAGGCTTGAAGTAAGGTTTATTTAGTTGATGTCAACTTCATCTCGCTTATTAAATGGATACATTTGGCATTTTTTCTGGTCAATCTGATAGTGCTATCTTCAAATTTTTTTTTTTATCACTTTAGGACTCATCTATTGTACTAGCAATAGTTTTGATACACTAGGTGGTTCACCATTGGACATAGCTTCAGAGATTATTCATAATCAGAATTATGACGCAAAGGTGAAAAAACTTCATGGCGTTTAGTCCCCGCAGCCCTCCCTTCCCTTGTTTTTTCTTTCGCTATCTTTTACATAAATGTAATGATCTATGTAGGCAGATTTGTATTAATGCTCTTTAATATTATTGTATTAAATTTTGTAGTTACATACATATTGCAAAAAATTATGTATTTGATATTTAAATATTTATAATATTCAATTTATAAATTTTAATTCATTTTTATTTAATTACAATAATAATTATTGAAAAAAAATTAAAAAAGTAAAATTTTTAATTTAGTGGCATTTTTAATTTTTTAATTTAATGACATTTATAATTAAAAACGCTACTAAATAATCAAATTTAGCGGTGTTTGTGTCTAAAAATGTCATTAAATTTAGTGACGATTTTAGACACAAACCTCGTTAAATTTGATTATTTAACGGATTTTTCATCATAAACGTCATTAAATTTAGTAGTATTTTTTTTTCAAAAATGTCATCAAATTAACGACATTTTTTGATAAAATGTTACTATATTTTCCAATGCAGGTATAACCAATGCTATTAATGTTGTTTTTTATAAATGTCACGAATCGTTTAATAGCATTTATAAATATCACAAATCATTTAGTGACGTTTATAAACGTCAAAAAAAAAAAAAATCGTTAAGACCTATTTTACTGTAGTGATATATAGACACTTTAAGATGTCATATTAACACACCACTAATTCATAACAAAAATACACATAATGTTGAAATAAAAATACCAATGATTTGGTTTTAATGTAAGTTAAACTCTTTTATAATATAAGATATATATATATATATATTAATATGACTTATTCATCCATTAGAAGAAAACATATACACAATTAAATTCTAAATTTAATATATTAATATTACAAAAAGTCCAATAATTAATATCAAAACTTTATTTTTATATTGATTTTTTTAACATGTAACTTTATCTAATTAATTATTTTTAATCCTTTTAAAATTAAGTGAATATATATGATATTCGATTTAAAGAAATAATTATTTTTTAGATATTCAACACATATTCTGGAAGAAGTGAAAAGTTTTTATTTATTATAAGCCAAAATGAAAGTGTTGATTTTGTCCATACCTCTAGGGAAGCAAAGTATTATTATGTATTAGAGTCTTTTTTTACGAGATTCTGTAATTTTTTGTTTTATGAATGAAATTACCTTTTTGACTGAAAATAATTTTATATTACCCTTTTTTGTTTTATACTTTTATATCTTTATTTTAATAATCAAATTAATATTATCTATTAAATTATAAATAAAGTGATGAAAAAAATTATGTGAGGTGACTTTAGTTTTTTTATTAATTATTATCAATAGTTGTAATCATGAGAATAAAATCTAAATTGCTCTATAAAATCTTTAAAATTGTAATTATATTAAATTTTAAGATAATATTATATTACAAAAATTATTATAAATACACCCGTCCGTGCATAACACAAATATAAAAATTTTAAATTTTTAAATAATATTTTATAGTTAATTTTTTGAATTGAAAAAAAAAGTAATTTTCTTGACTTTAATTTTTTGAAATATATTTAATAAAAATAAAAAAATTATAAAAATATATATTAAATATAATTATATATTTATTATATCAATATAAATTAAAAATTATATATAATGAAAATTATAATTAATTTGTATATCTGTATATAGCACAAATTTAAAAGTAGATTTGCTTATAAGTTGAGTTATCCATTCAAATTGAAAGTTAATCCTAAATTTTAAAAGATTTGAATATAAATATTAAACTCGTCAAAAGAACTTGAACAAATAAATGAGACTCAATTAAAAAATAAGATCAGATTTGAATTTCACCATTTAAGATCCAAGATAAACTCAACTCAATTTTAAAATTAAAAAAATATTTTTATTATAATAAGATAGTCTATTTGATTTTTTTTTTATAATGAATAAGATTCATTTACTTTATTATTTATAACAAGATAAAACTCAATTTTTTATGTAAAATATTAAAATAATAATATAATTTTAAATTATATTCAATAAAATTAAATTAAATTTAAACTCAAATAACTTATAAATTTAATTAAAATTAATTAAATTAATATTTTATAAAAAATAAAAAATAAACTTTTAATTTTAATTTTAATATTTTGAACGAATTTAAATTTTATTATTTTATGAAAAAAATGAGATGCGAAAAATCAAATCAAATCGTGCATAAATACTTAAAATATCATGTTGAGCCAAAGTCGACCAGGTCTGACAACGAGCAGCTCTACTTAAAAGTAGTAGGAACAGAAATAGAAAGCTCAAAGCTGGGCTGTGAATTGACATACATTCTTTTTGTGTGGTCAAAAGTGAAATCCCATTCTAATCAGACCACTCTGTGTAAGCCTATAAACCCTCATCCATCGCCTTCCCATGTCTCTGTGGACATCTTTTTTTTCACTCTCTGTGACCAAACAATGGCTCACAAGCGGCCTATTGATGACCCTACTCCCGCCTCTTCCTTTGAAGAAGAAGAAGAAAAAGAAGAAGAAGAATCCTCTGAAGGAAACACCTCTGCTTAAGATGACGATGAACCGCAAAACGATGCTGTCGACGATGACGAAGAAGATGAAGATGAAGAGGCAGGGGACGTGGACAAAACCCCTTTGGAAAAACAAAATACTGATTCTGGTAAACTCATGTCAGACTCGGAGTCTGACTCGTACAAGTCCCTCGCCTCCCCTAACGTCTCCGATTTCACCATTAAGCCCATCGTCACGAAGCCCAACAAATCCACTCCGAAGTCCACTCCCAAGCCATAGCAGATTGCCACCGAATCAGGCTCAAAGCAAAAGAAGCCACCGTCATCTGCATCAAACGGCGCTGGTGGTAAAGTGAAGACGCCGGAGACCTCACGGCTTTGGAGCGAAGCCGACGAGGTCGCGATCTTGGAAGGAATTATAGAGTACAAGTCAAAGAAAGGATCTGACCCATATGCGGATTCCAGTGGGTTCCATGATTACATCAAGCAATCGATCCAAGCCGAGGTGACGAAGAATCAGTTGACGGAGAAAATCAGAAGACTCAAGAAGAAGTACAAAATCAACGCTGAAAAGGGGCGGAATGGGAATGATCCTGTTCTATCAAAGCCCCATGATCACAAATCTTTCGAGCTATCAAAAAAGATTTGGTGTAATGAAACTAATGACAAGAGTAACAAGGGTCAAAAGAAAATGAAGACTTTGGGCATCGAAGATGAGGACCTGACTGAAGTTAACGGTGAAGTAACTATGGGATTGCCCTGTTTTATAAAAGAAAAGGAAGTCAATGCTGACGTTTCAACTGAAGTTTGCTCTGGCAGTAAAGAGGACACGGTGGATTTTTGGAAGGTTTATCCGTGCTTGAAGGGGTCTTTTGAGACGGAAGGATGGGAGCACGCCGGTGGTTTTTTGAAGAAGTTAGTGGAGAAGAATGGCGAGATTGGAAGAGACAAGTTGAACAAAATGGAGAGAGCATGGAGGGAGCTAAGGAGAGAGGACTTGGAGTTGTACTTGAAGAGGCTTGAGTTGGTTCAGGAAGTGGCTCAGGCTGCTTTGAATGCTATCAAGGGCTTTGAAATTTAGGTACAGTTTTTTGGTTTAAGATTTTGAATTGTGGGAATTTTTGTGTTGACAAATAGTTTTATGTTCTCAGTCTGTTTCTGTTTTGGGCTGAGCATTGATGTCATGTTTCTTCATCATAGTATGTTATGAATTTTGATTTAGAAGTGGCATCTTTTGATCCCATTTGTCTTAATATAAATAGTACTTATGTTTATGATTTCTGATGGATGGTAATAAGCTTGCAACTGTTTCTTCATGAAGCACTTGAAACCAAGTTTTTATAGCTGCCTTTAGGATATGGTTCACTTGTTATAATAAGCAGCAGATAATTCTCTGTTCTGAAACCTGGGAGGTTTTAGTTCAGTAGAATAATATGTTAACTGACTTAAAAAACACTTTTCATACCAAAGAATCGGTTTTGGAGAACTATGCAGTATTGATCTATTAAAAATAAGTAATCTTTTGTTGAGATTAAGTTATATGCTTTTTATTTAGATTTGTTAGCAATTGTTAGCAATGGTAATAAGAAACATGTAAAAGCCTAACGTCTTGTTAGAAATTTTGGGGCAGATCATTGTCTATGCGATGTTAGTTAGATTCTGAAAGCACATGCTTAAGAAAAGAAAGTTAAATCAATGCATAGAAGTTATCCACATAAATTATTTCTGTTCTAGAAGCATTGAAAATTTGATAAAAATAGGTTGATTCAAAACATAGAAAGTAGGTCTGACGACATATTCTTCAGAAAATTTTCTCCCTACTGGGGGCTTAGACAATTATTTCTTTGCTTGGAAATAGGTGGTCTTCCCTACGAGTGAACTTACCATAGACCAAGTAGACCCATCACTCTTGTCTAACCTTATTTGTTTGTTCATTTTTTTGGTTTAGGGGGATGGTACAGCCCTTACAAGGAGGGAAAGGGGAAGGAGATTTTGGCTCGAAACCATGACCTCTATATCCTCATAAAGCCTCCTTGGCCTCTAGACCAAGAGGTGGAGGACTTGTTATTTGTATCATGCTATAAAGGAAAGACGTTTTCAGATTTTTGAGATCTGTCTAGCTGTGTAAGGCTTATATGATCGATTCCTGCCTTTAACAGGTGGCTTCGCTATTAATGAACTTACCAGAGAGCAACCAAGTAAATTCATTACTCACCCAATTTAAATCTATTTTCAGATTATTGAGAGTCTATCAGGTTGGATAAACAATCCTCCCATGGTGTGCTAACTTATCAGTTCCCACGCAAGTAGATCTTTCCCTCAAGTTCCATTTTGAAATTATCCTTAAGGCTATTCATGGAGATGGTCCAATTAAGGGGTCTGGTACTGGTTCTGTTTTGTGATTTCGATATGTTCTTGCTGGTATATATGATTTGAACTTGAAAATTTTATAGTGCTATATATTTTACGTTACTGATTAAAATTTTGTCTTGATGCGACAAAGATGCTTTACCAAAGCTACACCAAGTTTTCATTGCTATCTTAAGATATTCAATGGTTCTTGTACGTGGAAATCACGTTTGCTTATCTTGATATCACGCATCTAGATTAGCAATGAGATAATTCAAAATTTAGTTTGATTCATATAATTAATTTCTAAAAATAATATTAAATAAATCTAATATTTAAATTTTAGTATAATATTTATAATCTATTCTCTTATCCTCGATTGCTTATTTGTACCAAATAACCCCAAATTGCAGTTTATTTGTATATAAAAAAAAGAGGTGCGATTAATCTTTCTGTAAAGCCACCTATATGTCAGACCAATATAAAATAAGCGGTAAATAAACACTGAGAATCAAAATCCCATTTCTGTTGCTTTACTTCTTGTTAAGGACGGCGAAGCAATAAGTTTTTATTCACCCGAATGCAAAGAAAATATGAGATGAGCGTGAGCCTCATCGTCAAGATTCGGTATCCCGTACTTATGAACTCACGAACCCCACATTTTCATCAACTTTCGCACGCACAAACCAATTCACTCACAGCTCAGGTTGTCACTTTCGAGCCTATCATATCAAACCAAATCAGGATCTACAAAGCCTTGAAGTTCATGCTAGCCATTGGTACAAAATTTCCCCTTTTAAGCCATTACTTGTTTGGGATCGAAACAGTTCCGCTGATGCATAAAGTGGAAAATCAGGGCCAAGGCTGGCTGTATGAATCTCAGTTTGGCAGACTATATGTCTCCCAAATTGGTCCCAAGAAATACTACTTTCTTTTCACAATTGTTTTTTCTAACCAGTGAAAAAACTCCCCATAGGCTTCAAATCAGACGTACAGAAAAAGTTAAAACTGAAAGACAAAAAAAATTTCAAAAAACATTACCAGAACTCAAAATGATGAACCATGCGAAATCCCCTATTCCTTTCCAAACAGATTCATTTCATTGCATTGATTTAAGCCCTGTACTTAAAAACTAGTATTAAAACTAAAATCCAGGTACATATAACCCTAAAGATTGAAAATCTAACAACAAAACAAGAAAATCGATCCGTAAAACATTATATTAAAACCATATCATGGCTCCATTTTTTTAGCAGTTCAATTACCAAAGAGAAACTGTTGAAGCACCGTTTTCCTCTCCTTAGCCTTCTTGAGCGAAACCAACTGCTCATAAGCAAAAACGCAAAGACTCTGTGAATAAAGCATGGTTTGAGCCACTGGAGAGCTAACCAACACCTGCAAAAGCTGCTGTCTATTCAACCTTTCCAACCCAGCATAATCGAATCCAAGAGGAGCATTAATATGTTCAATCGATAAAAAGCAGGAAGTAATTGGCATTGATTGGAGAATGGCGATTTGAGTTTGTAAGAACTGGATATATTTATAAGCCTCTTGAAGCATGGTGCCAGTGTCCATCTTCTTGTCCCATGGCATTAGCTTTTGGAGACAACGGATCTTCTCACTTAGCTTTTGCCTACGCTTTCGAGCTAGCTCACTGTGTGGGATGATTGGAGGAGGAGAGTTGAAGCTCTTGACAATGGAGTGGAGGGTTTGAGGGTTGTCAGAGTGGGAGAGGTTTAAGTTGAGTCGAGTACGTTTAAGTTTAGGCGTAGATGAGGTGGAGGCAGGGAGTGGGGGTTGTTGGAGGGAGTGGAGGTCAGGTAAGGGTTTGGAAAAGAAGTTGAGAAAGTGAGTGGAGTCAGGGAGGAGGTCTGGGAGTGAGTAGTCGAGATCGATGGGAAGAGAAGGGAAGTCTTGGGTGAAGAAGTTGAAGAGACAAGGATCAGAGGGTAGAGGGACGAGAGGTTGGAGATTGGAGTCGTTGAAAATGGGGTTCAAGTTGGCTTCATGGGAGTTTATGTTAAACTCGCTACTGAAAGCAGGATTAGAATTTGGTGGATGAGCAGTGGAGCCCAAACTCGTCTCCATTTTCATGCTGCTTTTTGTGAAAAAAACGAAACTGTTGCAAAGTGGTAGGCAAGGAAGGCGATGGAGCTCTTTGTTTCTTTTCTTTATAACAGACAAAATGCAAAATAAAATGGGAATCTGTCTCTTGAGGCTCACGCACATAGGGACGTTATGAGAAGGGGGGCACGTGGGGGTTGGTTATTGGATGAACAGTACTGATGTTGGGAATGAGTGAGGCGGCGACACGGGATTCAAGGATGATTGGGCGTCTGAGGCTACCACTGCTTAGCCGACGGTTTGTCTTTTAGGTAGTTTCAGGTGATCGGACGGGTTTGTGTATGTGATTGATCATTGATGAAATAAGAATGAGAGAGAGAGAGAGAGAGAGAGAGAGAGAGAGAGAGAGAGAGATGTATGCTTGGGACTGGGACATGTTGGGAAATTAGATGGATCTTCTTTTACGTATAGCCAAAAGGCAGCGGGAGGGAGTAGTTCAAAATGCGAAAGCAAAGGGACAAAAGCTGATGGCACTCCTAATCTGGTTGGCACTGACACTGGCACTGGCCTCACTGTTAAAATTTCACGGATGTTGGGGCTGGCCTGCTTTAAATACAGTTGGGAAGGATTAGCTGGCTTGAGGTACCAACGAATGGCATTGATCACTTGCAGCTTGAATTTACCTCAACAAGTTCATATTAAAGTGAGACGAGTGATCATTACTGCTATATCCTCTTTCTGTCTCCAAATAGACCAAAAATGATCCCTGCTTCTCTCTATATTGGCCAAAATAACATTAGGCTCTATGTTGATTCTTTTGAGTTTTGATATAGTATCAAACTGAAATATTCTCGCTTCGAGAAAATAACATAAACCTTACTATCGAAACTCTGAATGCTGATGCTGCTCAAAGATGACACATAATAAGTTAGTAACACCTATTTTAGGCATTGTTTTCTGTTTAATCAAAAGGCAATCTCATTGGTCATTCCACAATGCAAGATGGTTTTCTAATCAGAAAATGTACCTTATTATTTATCCAGCCTGAGAGATACCAAATCTTGGACAGAAACATTATCCGCAAGTTCTCGTCTTCAAAAATTGCTACCCTAATGTATCACCAATGATATTCCGTCAAGTTATGAGACAAGTCGAGGGAAAAAAAAAGCCTCGAGATTTTCTTTCTTTTCCATCATTTCCTGGAAAAGGAGAGAAAAAAAAATGCCCTACTACAACAAAATGAATTACAAATACAAATATGAGAACTGTACATAAGAATGAGACGAGAGCGGCACAAGAAATGATATTCTGGAATGACTACCAGCTACCATGCTAAAGGGTAGCTGCAAACTAAAATTGAGAAATCATTCCAAAACATTTACAACAACCCAAACCTATAAAAGCCTCACCGATCCCACATGGCCTGGAATATTGCTGGTCTGTGCTTCAACCAGTGCACCATATCTCTGTCCGGTGAAGAATTATTTAAAACAGCATCTAGCATCGGGCTGCCAAAAACTTTAGGAGTAGTTTTGAATGACCATATTCGGTCCTTGGGCCACGGTCTCTGGGGTTGCTTCTCCTGCACAAAGAACAGGTAAGTAACCACAGTATCCACCGATAACAATATACCATGCTGGGGGATATAAACCACCAACCAGTGTGAGTTTCTCCATATGGCAATATTCTTTCCAGTCAATACTATTGGTCTCTACATACAAGTTAACAGTGGGAATGCTACTTTTCTATTTGGGATTATAAAGGATAATTAACTGTAGTCCACTCTGGCAAAACAAAGACAACCTAATCCACAATACAATCAGGTTAGAATTGAGGCCTGTCATTTGAAAACAGTTTTAAATAGATTAGCTCCATCCCCTCCAAGTTTGTATCACCACAACCTAACCAATTCTATGATGTAAAGATGGATAAAAATTATCTGAACAATCTAGGGAATGCCCAATGTTTGTGAGTTGACAATAAAATTTAGTCCGGGAAGCATGTGGGGTATCCCCATACTTGAAATTCAAAGAACTCAGATCGGTATTTGCATCATTACAAAATGTATGAAAGAAGCTTACCATCCATGACAGCATAAATTTCAGAGTCTTTGGGCCATAAACACGATGCCTTAATGGCTTATGAACCTTGGCATAGAAGCAACCAATCTCAGGTAATGACAAGCAACCCCTACTTGCTCTAACCAGGCTGCAATCTGGCTCAACACTTGTCTGGCTATACCAAAAAATCAGCTGCCCTAAACAATAATTTTCACCATATGTCTTGCAATACTCCTGAAGACCTGTGAACTTGTCAGCATGCTTGGGGCCCAGGTCGAGAGGACTGATGTAGACTGGGGGAGAAGTTACTGCTTTGTATTCCTGTGCGTACAAATAGTTGATTTAGATCAAATGATAAACGATACAATAGCATTGAAAAACATTGTCTACTCTGCAATCCCCCTCCCCCCCTCATCCCAAGAATAAAAAGAAGAAAAAACATCTATTATCAGAAAGATAATAGTAAAAAGACTCACCCTAACTCTTAAGAAGCACTTTGTGTAAGCATAAATATGTATCAAGTCAGCTGCAGCATCATGCCGACACTTGTATGTGCATGGAAGATTCCGAACCTCATCCCTCAACCTTGAAAACAATGAAAGAAATGATTAGATCACATCTTTACTAGAATGCAACAAAATGATTACAAATTTAAACCGGACTCACCATAACAAAGATTTCTGAAGTTCTTTCAGAATGTTGTCAGAACCCAATGGGTCATGGGCCCTAATCTTGGACTTCAAATTATTGAGCATGTCATCTTCCACATGAGGAGCCATGCACTGAAGAAGCTCCTCAACCAGTGATCCTTCTCCTTTCCAGAGAAAGGAAACAGCTTCTTCAGGACTAAGCCTCTCTATTGGAGGTGGAGCCTTTTTGGGGTCACCAAACACACATCTCATAACATATCTTACCTGAAAACAGAATCAAAGATGATAATGTAGGGATACTAGTATAATATAATCAGCAAGTACAAAATTTTCTCTCATAATGCAGAAGATCTAGCCTCTACATAATTTAATATCATTAACTGCAATGTCAGAATTTCATGCGATAAAGATGACTGCCATCCAACCATTAGTCCAAATGAACAAGAGAGTAATCTATGCATTCCAAAAAGTTGCTCAGCTCTTCAAAATCACAAACAACAGGTCAAAATAAACAGTTTTGCATCCTTCTTGTTTGCAGGATGACCATAGAAACGATCCCACCATGCACAACAACATATTACACATGACCATATTTTGTTCCATGGAAGAATATTTAAACTTCAAAATTTGTTATACAGAGACAAAGAGGGTAATCACCTTGTCAAGAGTAATTGCCAAATTCTGAAGCCTTTGGTTATAGACACCTTCAGCCTATCTCGATCAACAGAAAAGTATACAATGAGCATTTATATTTAACTGCAAGCATAAATAACTTCAAACAAACATAAGCAGACGTAACCATAGGCACAGAGACAGATGCAAATGCCATTCACACACACAAAATCAGAACAGCAACATGCCTGAATCTCAGCATCGTTCCTCTCTGCATCAAGAGATACATCTATACAGTATTTCCGTTTCTCTTCCAAATTATGCCTTAAAATTTCCTCAGGGAGCTTTGTTCTCTCAAAGTTTATGAACCTCACCTACACCAGAAAATAAGTTTCAGGAGAATATAAGCTCCCCACTCCCTCCTTCCCTTCGTTTTTTTTCCCCTTCTTTCTTTAAAAAAAAAACAACTAATGAAATGGCAAGAGAGCAGAGCAAAGACTAACCACACGAGCTGAGTATGCAACCAACCAATCAGGCAACCCACCAAGCAAACAACTTCCTAGACCAGCCCTCCCTAACTCAAGGTAATCTTCTTCGCATACAGAATTTAGTTTGCAAGCTTCTAGCATTAGCTGTTGTCGATTAAGCATTCCGTGCCACTCCTTCAATACCTGGTGAACAATGCATTTCTTATGATAACTTTTCAAAACTCAGAAGAGAAAAGGATCAATTGATTTAACAGGCAGTAAATAAAGTATCATTTTTGTTTTTGTTTTTTTTCTTTTTTTTTCTATACCTTCTGAAATACACCTTCACCAGTCAGATTCAAGTAGGTACCACGGCAGACTTGACTACCACAGAGACAGACAGATGCTTCATATTCTTCCTTGCTCTAATAAGATAAGTGTCAAACATGAGCTATAAGCATATAGGAACTTTCTTCAGTAGCAAAGCTGATAGGACAGAAGATTCAAACCTCTGTAATGGAATTATAATCAAATGTAATCTCCTCGCCATATCTTATTGCACGTAGAGCATAGATTCCAATTTGGTACTGACCATCTACAGCAGTAACTCTGCATTCAAGAAATGGTAAAACAAGAAGCTGAAATAACAGAAACAAAATCTTGGTACTACGAAAGGAACACGATTTGTAGCTGGGCTAAGTTGTCTGTTAAGGAACAGAAGTTAAGATAGAGTATACTCACAGATGTCATGCCAATCAACAAAAACTTTATGCACCAAAAAAAATCAATCAAAGCATAAAACTGTTAAATAATCAGATAATAGAGACTGGTTTAAACTACAATTTGTCCCAAAAGAAAAAGGATAAGTTATTTGGAACCACAGGGTAACAGTCATACTAGCATACAGTCTATCCACATAAATAACAAAATACAAACATGTTTAACATCCATGCTACTTTTTGATGTAGAACAATCACTTTTTCAGCTTTTAGGCATCCAAAATCCTTGCACAAGTTAATTTAAGTATATCTGAAGTGCAAAACCTCCAACCAAGAACAAATACTTCATTTTTCCTGTCCACAGGTTAAACTTGTCCAACAATTATACGAGTATTTGTCAAACATCTAGTACATAATTATTAATATAAATCGCCAAAATTGGCACTGGTGAACATATCATTCCATATTAAGAAAATCCAAATTATTCTGCCCTACACAAGTCTCGAAATTCACAAACTATGGGGGAAATGAGGAAAGTACTTTAAAAAACTGGATATGTTGCTTTACAATCCTACACAGACCAAAAAGAGCAACAGAATATACTTACTTGGCCTCACAATTAGGATGACATGAATGACAAATTCGACTCGCATAATTTGCCTTGTGCATGGCATCAACAACAACTAAATCATACCCAGCAGCATCACCCTGATAAATAAGAGATGTTCAGGCAAACATTTTCAGCAAAGCAAGTAAAATTAAGTAGTTAACCACAAAAAGACAGCACAAGAAGTGTTGGCGTAGACACCTTTGGCCTCTCAAGGTTGATGTTGTAAAACTCAGGAGCTGGATCGTCACTGTTTTTCTGCAACAACCGAATTCCATCCTGCTTCTCAAACCATTTCCAGACGGGATAAACCTATGAAATTTAAAACCTGTCAGCATAAAGGACTTCAAAGAGAACTTATTCAAATGCCAGAAGCCAGAGAGTAGCTACACAGTAATAAAAAAACAGTAATTTTTTTTATATAGCTGGAAGTTAAAAACCTTATAGTAGTGTTTGGCACAGAGTGATCATCCAAAAAATCAC